TAAAAAATACATTGAAGAACAAAACTTGCAAAGATTATGCCTCTTCTTGTTTGTTGGTTTATTTTCCCCCTTCGTTCTGGTCTTTGTGGTCGGATGGTTGCATAAGACATTTTGATATCTAGAGATTTTTGTTTTCCTTTTTTAAATAGGAATTTAAGCCTAGGGCTGTTGCCAGTCCATGTAGGCCTCTGTGCAGTCACTCATGCCCCTGCCTCTGTTTTTCACCTCATGGATCCTGCTTAAGCAGGGTGTTTTGGCCAGTGCAGCGCATGGAGTGTTCAAGGGGTGGCTGGCCTGCTCACTGCCCACAGCCGTGTGTGAGTTAGGATATGTGCTGAAGGCAGACCACTCAGAACCATTCTCCCCAAGCACTGACTTTCGTTCCTCCACCCACAGACCCTAAAAACACTGCCACCACGTGTCACCCAGGCCTGGCTACCTGAATACCAATGAGATTGTTTCAAGCCAGAAAACTCAGCTGTGACTTCCTCTCACTGGGCTTTTGTCCAAGCTAATGAAGGTGTGTGCTCTCCTGCATTTTTTCCTGACTCTTGACACATCTAATTTTCTGTGTGGCTGTGCTTTAGGGTGGAGGGGGAAAGAGAGGAAGGGTCCCCATGGCCCTCGATGCAAATGAAAGCAACCCTGGATTTTGCGCTATGAGTTTTACATGGACTATTTACTTCAGTCTGCTTAATTCCATTTTTACAGATGAGTTAGCAGAAAGTAAAAAGAGTTTCAGCACTGGTGACCCTGTACTAGGCTGAAGCATTCCACAGTGCTCAATACTCAGAATCTGTTTCTTCCTCTCTCCCTGCATTTTTGTCCTCTCCTTGTCCTCTTCTCCTCCTCCTCCTTCCAGACAGGGTCATCTTGACAGAATCATTTTTTTTCCTTTTTTTTTTTCTTTTTTATGCCTCCCAAGAGACAGAATCATTCTTAATTAAACAAATCCTAGCACCAAGGAGATGGTGCGTAGCAATGAAGAGCGTGCAGTGGTCTTGTGGAGGACGTGCATTTGGTTCCTAGCACCCATGGCAGGCAGCTCACAGCAGTAGGCGGCTTCCAGCTTCAGTGGTACCTGATGCCTCCGCAAGCGCCGGTCCCTCCGCATCTCTATTCAGGCCTGCCAACCCCCCCCCCCCCAAAAAAAAGGTTTTTAAAAGTTCCTAAAACGTTTGCTATTGTTTCTGTTCAGCAACCTAGGAGGTCTAATTTGTTAGTAGAACGAAATCTAAAGGCTGTACAGCCAGATAGCTTTAGAGCTCCATTGCTCTTTGTTCTTAAGATCCTATCTCCTTTTGTTATCCAGGCTGGTCTAAAATTTGTGTTCCTCCTGCTTCAGCCTCCTTAGCAACGAGTAGCAGGTGTGAGACACCAGGTCAGGTGCAAACAATGTCTGTACACCAGTTACAGATTTTATAAGTGAAATGATCAATCTTTTAATGAGTTGAGTTTTCATTTGTTGCATTTTAATTTGCATAAAATGCCACAGTAAGGCTGTGGTTGGTTGCCTGATCATCCAGTTGAGGCCTTGGAGTAGAAATCTTAAGCTTGACCTCTGAACTTGTTTTTGCTTGTTTTTATGATTTTCCCACAGCCCCAAACCCAAGTGTGGTTTTCTTTTCTGCTAGTGGCATTTATAAAGCAGATTTGTAGCAGTATGAACCTGGACGCTGCTGTAGTTCTGTGTTTGTGCACTTCTTGCCTGAACGTGACTGTGGAGGTGTCTGGATCGCATATCTCTGGTGTAGAGCCAGCTCGGGAACACCTGGTTCATTCCTCTCATTTCCTGTTGCCGTGGGGAGGCCTCTGGGGATGGGGCTTTGCACAGGGGCCAGTGCAGGGAACAGCGATGCACTAGAGAACATGCAGAAGAGATGCTGACTCATCTGCAAGCCCAGGACTAAAACAAGGCTCGAGTGACTGTACCACCATTGGGTTGCTGAGGTGCCATTAAACTGCCATAGATCTCAAGCATTGGTCAAGCCAGGAAGTTTTTGCCAATAAAAAAGCCTATAATAAATAAGATACCTTCCTGGTGAATGTCAGCATTGGTAATCATTAAAATACTCGAGCTCTGTTCCCATAAAACGATAAAGTGTTGCAGTGTTTCCCTCCGTCCTGCACGCTGGAGCCTTCTACAGACTTGATGAGGCTTAGATAACAGATCCGATAAACCCAAGTTTCCGGAGTCTGTTACTGCCCCGTGCACAAATTGGCGCAGACTTGATGACTCGTCATTGAGGTTTGCCTCTCAGCCAGTGCATTCTTAGCCTCAGAGTTTGAGATCCTGGCAAGGACCAGCAGACAGTTGAGAATGTGTCGGAGCCAAAACCCGTCTCTGATGGCACTCAGCCAGAAACCTCAGTGGCACAACTGCTCAGCAAGGTTGCGGCGGGACCTTTGAGCTCCCTGAGGTTTCCTCCCATTGTTTCAGACGCGGTGCACATGGCTTCTGGAATGAGAGAGAGAGCGAGTTGCACTCTGGCCAGCAAAATGATTTCTTCCTTCCCTTAAACACATGTATGCCCACAAATGGAGGGGTGTCCTGATGGTAAGTCATAAGGAGCTGTGCCAGCACATTCTCCCTGTTTCTTACCTGCCGCAGTCAATGGAAGATGCGGTAATGGAAACGTCTTTGTTTCCTGCCTGCGTTTTAGCTCAGGCTGAGTTCCGAGCGCTCCTCGATGCCCTGCAAGACACTGTTCTTCTCAGCGTGGAGCTCAGATCGCGTCTTCACTCTAAGGACACCGGACGACTGTGCTAATTGCTTGTCTGGTTGCTGTGACAAAACACACGACAAAAGAAGCTTTAGGAAGGGAGGGCTCATTTTGGCTCAGGGCCCAGGGCATGGTCCATCGTGGCTGGGTGTCATGGCAGCTGGTCACATTGCATCCACAGTCAGGAAGCAAGGGGGGAGGATGCTGGTGACCAGCTCATTTTCTCCCATTTCAGTTAGGACAGGCATTCCTGCTTCATTTAACCTAATCTACAAAAACTACCACAGAGACTCGTCTCCAAGGTGATCCTACATCCTGTCAAATAGGCAATCAATGTCAACCTCTCGTCACAGGGAGGAGCTGGGATCACACAGTCCGTTGCAGATGAGGTAGATGGCAGGCGTCCAGACCACTGACTTTTTCTGGGAGCAGAGCTGTTTCGGAGTATAAAGCTACAGCACTGACTGACAGCGGGCTTCTTTTTTAAAGGCCCACACAGTGGCGGGGAGACTGGGATGGTGGGGAAATGAGCAAGTAATTGTGTGACTTTTACTGTTGGCCCTTCCGCTGCTGACAGCTGTTTCCAGGAATAGGTACTTCCCTAATGTGTTCTAGGTGACCTCGAGGGTCTCTTTTTTTCTCTAGCCAGGCCAGTCACCTCTGTCTGCTTGCAGCCACCATCCATTGGTAATACTGTCATTTGTCAAATCGTTATCACTGTCACCTCAAAATCCGACTTTCTGGGAGATGCGTGGGCTACCAGGCTAACTTCGGCTCTGCACAAGACGTCCTGGTTGCACGTTCAAGCTTCAGAGGCGGGCTGTGGGATTGCTAACTGTGCTGGAATGTAAAGTTCAGACATCCTCTGATTTAAACTTCAGGTTCTGCAAGCCCAGCCACCGCTTGGCCTCGTGGCTCGCGCTGCGTGTGTGAAGTCCCGCTCTGTCTTCGGGCTCTGTTGGGAATCAGCTCACGGAACTACAGTGGCTCAGTTTGGGTCTGTGCCCGACTGGTCACTTTACTCACGAAGTAACCTTGCTTATTTATCAGGGGATCACAACCCAGATCCCCCCAAGTATGTCTGAATATAGGGCTTCAAAGTGGAAGAAAGAGCTGGTAACCTAGGTAGCGTGAGATCTGGTTTCAACAGGAACCACCCATAAGCCCGTGGATGCGCTTGTGAGCTTTTCAGTGGGCAGCCTCTGTGTGTCGGGTACTCTGTAGGTGCTAAGATCAGACTGCAAACAAGACAGGGAACAAGCTTTTGACCCTCATTTGCCTCTACCAGTTCCAGTGTTTTCCTTAGACATCCTGAGCCCCCATAAATTATTTTTAAATTACAATGGTATCTTGTACTGTGAACAGGTTTTATATTTTGCTTTTTGCTTCCCCTCCATCATTACAGTTTTCTCATGAAATGACTAAAGGATTATTAGCCTGTAATTGTAATTCTCAGTAGGGTTTTTCTTTTGCCTTGTGGATACAGGTAGTGTTTAGACAATGAAAGAAGACCTCAGATTATCACCTGGTTTGATAATCACTGGGGAGAGCATAAGAATGAAGGGTACACAATATGTCTGTAGTTTTCCCCTCAGAGAGGCCTCCCTGTGTTATCTGTGCTGACTGCTGAAGCTCTAGACTCCCACCAACCCTTCTCTTTTCTTCCAGTCCTAAGCCTTTTATTAAATATGTCTGACCTTTATTCCATTTGGAATTAGACATATATTTTTGTAAAGGGGGAAAAAAGCATGATTTCACAATTTCAGGGTAACGGCTAACCAGGCACAGTCCTTAAGCCCCACACCAAAGATTCTTCCTTTCATCTTTTCCCTCTCTCCACACTCTCTTCCTTCCTTCTTTTTAGAGAAGGTCTCCCTATGTAGGCCAGGCTGGTGCTTTCTGCTCCTGCTTCTGAGTGCTTCAGTTACATGCATGTGGGCCCACTAGGCCTGCTTCTCATGTCTTGGGATTCTAATCTTGTAGGGCTCAGATGGAACCTGCTTTTTCAAAAAAGAATGTTAAAGAAAGGCAGGCATCTTGATGATGTCGACGGTTCTTTAGAACGTTTTCAATGTCCTAAAATGGGGGATGTTATTGGAGCACTTACCCTGCTTGGAGTCCTAAGGCCTGGCCTACCTGTTAAGCTCTCATACCAAAGATTACCTCAGGTTAATTTTATGTTCTGATTGTAATCCAAATTTATGTACTGTGTATGTCTGCTGTGGGATGAGACTCTAAGCTTTTTTATTAAACAGCATCCCTGATATGTCTCCACAGGCAATGGTGGCTTGCTATCCAGGAAATGGAACAGGTTATGTTCGCCATGTGGACAACCCCAATGGTGATGGCCGCTGTATCACCTGTATCTACTACCTGAATAAGAACTGGGATGCCAAGGTACTGTGGAATAATGTGTGTGTGGGAGGAGGTTGGAGGGTGTATGTTATAAAAGGTACAGATGGGGGTTCACTGAGAGTTCAGATCAAAGGAGCATGGCCTTTCCAGTGAGGTACAGCATTGAGGTAACTTTAGTATAGTTATAGTCTCCAACGGCCTGTCTCCACTGTTTTATTTTTTCTTTCCCCTCACTTACGGAATTAGCACCAGAGTTGATGAGATTAAGAATGGTGGCTATAAAGTTAATGTGGCGATTGTGAAGGTCAGGGGTCAGAGCTGGTGTGACTCCCAGCTCAGAGTGTGAGGTACACCTTTCCCTTCCAGCAGCATCACTGAGAGAGTTCCCCAAAAATACAGCTATGGGATATCAAGAGATTTCCCACACAGTCTTCTTTCACAGGCTGATACGTCCCGTGGGGGGCGGGGGGGGGCTTGTAGCTTGTGAGTGGCAGAGGCTTGTGTGGCTCGTTTGTACAGGGTGTGGCAGAGATGTGAAGTTTGTATAACACGGTTTGTACGCTCTGAAAGTTGAGAATGATTTAAGAATGGGAAGTTGGGGAACTTTACAACCTTATTTAGTTTTTGGACTTCGTACATCTCTGTTTGCTGTTCATTAGTGTAGACCCTGTAATATTGTAATTATGTAGTATTGTATCTCTCCTCTCTGCTTGGTAGTAAGACTAGAACAGTTCCTTTAGGGCTTAAAAGTATCTTGAGATGCTATGGTGAGCAGAGTTGTTGGGAAAACGATGACCAATGAGGAAGAATGAAATCAACAAATATTTCAGTTTCTGCCAGCGTTAAATATGTGTTGTGTAAAAACATTGATGTCTGAAGCCTGATTTCTACCCAGAAGATAGTTGTTCCAGTAGGACAAGTAGACTGTACATGTGAAAAAGAAAAAGCAGGTGAAGAGAGTGGTAGATGTCCTGAAAAGGCGAGTGTCCAGGGAACTAGGGCAGAGGGTATGTATCTGAAGAGTTCAGGGGAAGTCTGTACACTGTTGTTGCAGGGACAGCTGTGAGTGAGTTGCGCTTACACTTAATATTTGATGGAGCTATGAAACTCCTCAGCATTTATTTGCTTGCTCTTTTGGGTTGAAGCAGTCTGACATGGACAGTTTTGTGTGCTGCCCTCTGATTGTTCCCTATTTTGGGTCTGTGGCCTTCACGAAGGCTGTGGCAGTGCAAAGATGCTGAAGTTGAATGAGGAGCTGTCCATAGCTCAGTCTGACATAAGTTTGTTTACAAAGTATGAGGAGGAGTATGTATTTGGGGGTTAAACCTACTTATATTTGAGGAAGAGGTGATGTTTCTGCTGGATAGAACTGACGCATCATTGCTGATAAACTAAACTTCATGTGAGACCAGGAGATAACTAACCCTCTTCTTGGTCTTCAGTTACATGGAGGGGTCCTGCGGATATTTCCAGAAGGGAAATCGTTTGTAGCAGATGTGGAGCCCATTTTTGACAGACTCCTCTTCTTCTGGTCAGACCGCAGGAACCCACACGAAGTTCAGCCCTCCTATGCAACCAGGTAAGAGCTGGGTTCACGGTTTCTTTTCCAGGGTGTGTGTGAACCCCAGTTTCCTGAAAACTCTTAGAACTCATGACCTATGTGAGGAAGTTCTGCTCAAACCCCATAGCCCATTGGTAAATCTGTTCAGGGTGATAGAAATCGCAGGGGCCTCTTTTAGAATTCATTAGCATAAGTTTAAAGTAACTATTAACTTTCTTTTCTGTGAATTGTGCATACTGAAGTCTTAGTTCCTTAGAATCTTTTCCCTTATCCTTCCTTCTTCTGGACACTTAAAACAAAAAACTAAAGTTGCTTGGACTTTGTGATACCCTCCTGTAATACCAGCATTCGGAAGTGTGAGCAGGAGGACTGAGAGTTCAAGGCAACGTGAGCTAAGTGAGACCAAGTCTCAAAAAACATCAACAAAGAACAATGACAAAAACCTAATGTTGAACTGTCCCTGATCATCATGTGTCAAACATGCTGCTTCTCTGAGTGAATTTAGTTTATCAGTTTAAGCAAAGAAAGAACCTTAGGAAATGGAAGAGTAATTTGTTCTGAATTTGTTTATTTATTTTTATTCTTTTGTAGCTTAAGGTTTGTCTGGGCTAACCTTATCCACGCCATAACAGTTGGATGTTACAAGTTTGCTTGTTCCACCTGTCTATCCATCTATCCATCCATACATCCATTTTTTTGAGACAGGGTCTCTTGTGCTGGTCTGGAACTTGCTGTGTAGCAGAGGATGACCTTGCGTTTCTGATCCTCCTGCCTCCCCCTACTGAGTGCTGAGGTTACAGGCAGGCACGTGCCGGAGCCTGCTTTTGTGATGCTAAGGCTTAGTGTACCTAATGCAAGCTCTCTACCAACTGAGTTACATCCCCAGACCTGCAACTGAATCTTCTTAAATCCTTTCATCTTTCTTTCTTTTTTGTTAATATTTTCTCTCTCTCTCTCTCTTTCTTTTCTTTTCTTTTTTTTTTTTTTTTTTTTTTTTGGCTCATGGATATGCAAAATTTCAGAGTCACTGAACATCTTACGATTGTCTAATCTTAATCTAGAAAGCTGTGATAAAAAAATATTTATCTCTGCGTCTGCCTCTAATTCTTCCTTATCTTCCAACAAGCACCATGGACCAGTGAGAGAGTCGAGTGATGTGGAGTGAGGCTTGTACTGGCCAGGGCAGCTACGTGGGAAAAGCTGTGGGAGGAGAGTGCTGAACATTACCCAGCTTAACTCGGTTAAAGCCAGATATCTGCACAGTCCCGCAGACATCCCAGTCTGAGTGTCACAGGGTTTGTTACACCGTGACGTGCTCTGCATAGAAAGGCCACTAGTCCTTGCCATTGAAATCTGCATGTGGCTTGTTTTATGGGGTTTAAAAATAGGACCATGTTTTGTGGTGGGATTCTCCAGTTATTTCCCAGCCCCACTGTGACCAACCTCATAGGGAAAACATCAGCAAAAGAGATTAGAAGCCCTGAGGGGTCGGCTGCTATGGCTAATAATAATTATAAAAGTAAAAGGTTCAAAAATCCAGGCGTGAGATAGCTCCAGTTACAATCCCATGGATAGGACAAAGCAAGGAACAGCTGAAAGTACTGAACTGTGTCTTTGCATCAATGTCTAAAACTAAAGAAAACAGGCCGTGAGTTAGAAAGCTTCTGTGACTGAAGGAAGTTACTTATGAAAACTTCCAGCGTCCTGCACCTTCATCCTTAGCAGGACAAGTCTCCTCCAGACCTTCCTGCACAGATGACATTTTTCCACCGTATCCTGTCCAAGCACTGGCTAGCGGCTGAGATCTTAAGAGAAGGTTCTAGTGACCCCATCGCTGACTCCTCAGCTCAGGACAGCACCTGGCAGTGCCCAGAAAGCCTTTCTTATATGACACTTATACAGAAATGAACCCAGGGCAAATACTTTTGAATTAAAATAGGAGGTGAAACTTTATATGGTGCTTTTACAAATGATTTTAATGTGAGCTGCACAGAGTAAGTTTGAAGTTTGGTGTTGTCTAATAGGAAACATGCTTGTCGTTCACAGGTACGCTATGACTGTCTGGTACTTTGATGCTGAAGAAAGAGCAGAAGCCAAAAAGAAATTCAGGAATTTAACTAGTATGTATCTGATCATTTTGTATCGCTTTAGTGTTATGTATTTTGTAGTAACACTGTTTAATCTCACTTGTGACTTAGCTTCATATATAATGATATCTATCTATCTGTATATATCTATATCTGTCTGTCTGTCAGTCTACCTATCTGTCTATATGAAGCCTTGGCCTTTATGCTCCTAAAAAAATCAGAAGGAAGTGTAAAGGGCATTCCCCCTCAGGATGCTCCTGATTGTGTGATAGTTTGTAATAGATGGAAATAACTAACTTTTTATTGTTAATGTTAATCAGACATGTGCAATGTGCAATTTTGTCCATGAATTTGGCATTTATATAGAAAATATAGTGGATCCTAGCTCCGATGGCTAATTTAAGTTGATGTGGGATTGTGGCTCAGTATAAAAGCAGGGCTTTTATTCTATCAAACTGAAATGGCTCAACATCATTTCTGTCACCTCCAACTAGTATTTATAAACCATGTTTCTCAAAATCAGTTGCACTAAGCTGAGCATGGTGGAGCCAGCACTCTAGAGGCCGAGGCAGGAGGGTTGTGAATTTGAGGTCATCCTGACCTATAATGTCCTGCCTCCCCAAAAAGTTGTACAAAAGCAGCAATTCTGCCAAGTTGGCTTATGAAAAGGTAAATTTCTGGCCCTCTGAATGCAGGAAAGCTGTGTACTATATTCTTTCAAGTGACCACACATTAGTTTATTGAGTTAAGTCCCTAGAAAGTCTTCCAGGAAGAACTGGAGAGGTACTCAGTTAGAGTACTTGTCTAATACATTGCATGTCCTGGCTGCCATTCTCTCCACTGCCAAATAAATCAAATGCACATTTACATAAAGAATGGATGTAATTTTACCTAACTAATTCATCACATATTTGACTTCTATACCTACCAAATGTCAAGGAAGACACCTTTGCAAAGTTCTGCTCTCCGTTTGCTTTATAAAATGGGATGTTGTTTACTAGAGAAGTGTGTGTGTGTGTGTGTGTGTGTGTGTATGAGAGAGAGAGAATCTTGATGACATAATTCACCAAGTTTCACTTTCTAACCTCTTCTTTTTTCTTTTCTGTTCCCAACCCAGGGAAAACTGAATCTGCTCTTGCTAAAGACTGACATGTGGTATGAAATCTGCTGGCCTCATTCTTTAAGTAATGGTTCCTGAAATTTTAAGTGTCAAGATCCAAAGAGTCTATAAAATACCCCTACTGCCTGCACCATTCACACCCCTGCTTGTTTGTGGTACTTCATGTTTTCTTGCTGGGACTGTGCTGAGCTTCAGATACTGTATTTGCCAGGTGATATCATTTGCTAATTCCAGAAACACCTGCACACATCCTCGTTGGCCAGCGGTTTAACTGATGGATTTGGGGATACGGTGGTTGAGACAAGATCCCAGGAGTGATTGTTATTTGCACTTTATATATACTTCTTGATTTAAAAGGAGGAGGTTTGCAAAGAAACAAATTGATGACAGATACCGTGAAGAGGCGCCCTTGAAGCCTTAACATCGAGAAAGAGAAAATGTATTGTCTGAAGGATTTCCAGATGTTGTTAACCCGAGACTGGACAGTTATGACAACCTAATGACATTATTACCTCTCGGAAGAGCTGCTGTCATAGTGATCAATTTATAAGTGTCCCGTGGTGGATACTCCTTTTTTCTGGTCTTACAACTTGGACTTCCTGAAAGTCATTGCTAAACCAATAACTCTCATGTTGAAGACGACACCAACATTTATTCTCTATTTTTACTTCTTACTTGGAGAACCTAATTATACAGAGAATAAAACTCGCCATATACCTTGGGTTGTTTTTCTGGCATTGAAGTTTGAAGTTAAATCAAAGGACAGAAATCCTCCCGGTGTTTTAGCGCTGGCTTCTGTTGACTGTGGGAAGAGGAAAGCCTAGTGATGACTGTAGTTGGAGAGGGAGGTGAGGCCGGGAGTGCAGACAGCCTGCTTTCATCAACCATTCATCATTAACGAAGAACAGCCTGCAGTATTCTAGGAAGAGGTCGGAAGTAAAGCAGATCTCCAAGCTTTTCCAACTCTCCCACGTGGTCTGCTGCTGCCAGCCCTCCTTAGCCACCCTGACCCTTGAGAGCAGCCGGGTGGTAGTGCGGCCAGAGTTGTGGAATTTGCTAGAACTGTGGGAGGTTCTGCTGCCACAGGAAGCAGGCGTCACCTCCTGCAGAGCTCTCTAGAAGCACTGTTTCGAGAAAGGTAGCCATCCTGGTGCTCACTTCCGCGGCCCCGTCTTTCAGATCTCTTAATTTCTTGCTAGAATCCTAAAGCATCACAGACCCAGAAATGTTTTACTTCATCATGTTCAGACATACTGACTTTCCAAGAAGTTGGTATTTTTTTTCTTTTGTTTTGGAAAGAGTCCATAAAGGACTGTCATTCCTTCCCACCATGGCTCTGTTTCATTTTATTTACTTTCTAACTTACAATGTCATTTCCTTATTTATTACGTTTATTGTCTTGTAGCCTATGATGTCTAGAGTGTTAAGTACAATGAAGACAGGGATTTTGAATGTTTTTATCAATGCAACATATTCCCAGCACCTCACCTCACGCCTGGCATAAAGGAAACAAGGGCTTAGTTATTACGTGTTCAATAAACTCAGTCTCCTCTGTAACGGTTTGAGTCATTTTGTTGTCTCTGGCAAGAAAGGCTTTGTCTCTAGCATTTAGTCTCTTTGCATTTCTGTCTTAACGCTATGGCAGTGGTTCTCAACCTGTGGGTCATGATCCCTTTGGGGGACAAATGTGCCTTTCACAGGGGTCACATATCAGATACCTTGCATATCAGATATTTACAACAATAGCAAAAGTACAGTTCTGGAGGAGCAATGAAAATAATTTTATGGTTGGGTCAACATGACAGGAGGAACCGTATTAAAGGGTCACAGCACTGGGGAGATTGAGACCCACTGCTCCAGGAACTCACACCTACCTGGTAAGCGCTCTTTTCTGCTGAACTGTACCATCATGGCCCCTGTGGTCACTACACATTTAGGCTCTGAGCTGTGGAAAGCTCTGGTCATAGTGTCATTTCTTACCCGTTTACCGGGGAGTAAGTCATTCATAGGTGCCATGTCCCACACAGGTGGGACTTGACCTGACTGGGAGCTGAAAGAGATCCAAAAAAGGACAGACACACAAACAAGCTGCAGTTAGGTGGCCTGTGCTCACTCTGAAGGAGCAGGACCTCCTACACAACAGGGTAACCTTGTTAAGCATAGCATGGGAGGAGTTGGAGGGCTCAGTAGGTCTCGGCAGGGAGCAGTCTCAGGTTACAGCCTGAAAGGAGGAAGCTGTTCTGAGTTGTCAATCGTAGGTAAATACTCATACCTGCACACGCACTGTCAACCTTAGTGCTTTGCCATCCTTCCTAGCCTCACCACACAGGGCAGACTTCACCATTCCCGTGGGCGGGTCTGAGGCACTGGGTCCTTAACGTGGCGGTGCTCCATCAACAAGATGCCTTGACTCAGACTTCATCTGCTCAGACACGTGTGCCCGGGCTGTTCCCAACCACTGCCACCGGGAGTGGTGTTTCCTTTGCAGTTTCATGGCTGTGAGGTGGTTCTTTAAGACATATTTTCCAAGCTTCAGTGGTGGGGGAGGGTGGACAGGTTATGTAGCAAGCATTTCAGGTGCTGTAAGACTTGCAGCTACCGTTTCAGAGTTGCTAACATCTGAGAGGGACAGTGTTCTGAAGGGAAGTCACACATGGTCTGACCTCAGGCTGGCTCCTAACTGCTGAGCCTCCTGTCTGTGCCTACCCATCAAGAGCACTTAAACTGATGTTTGCCCTGTCCTCTCCTTCACCAGATACCCTTCCACCTTCTGCCTTGAGTCCCTGCCTACTGGCCAGCTGAACTTGAGAGACTCCCATGTCTAAGAGGAAGAACCTGTGTCGTCAGGTGTGAGAACGTGTCTCCCTAGATCCCTGTTGAAACTTCAATCCCAGCACAACAGTGTGGGGCATCTAGGTGACAAGTCCATCACAGTCATGATGGACGGTGTTGCCTTTAAGACAGGGTTCAGTCCTTCCCTTGGGCATGGGAGGGCAACAGAGTGCATGTTGGAGAGAGAGGGCAGCCTTCCTTCATTCTGCAGCTCTTGGCACATTAGTCTTAACCGACCAAGTTCCTTTAGTGCAAGAAGTGAGTTTCTGTGGTTTATAAATGACAAAAGGGGCACCTGGGAAGGATGCCTCCTTTGGGGGGGGGGGATGGGAGGCGACTCTGGATTCACAGGGTTTTTTTTTTTTTATCTTTTTTTAACTCTTGATTCTTTGTGAATTTCACATCATGCACCCCAGTTCCACTCATCTGCCTATTCCTTAATAATCTGCCCTCTGCCCTTGCAACCTCCCCACCAAAGAAAACATAAAATAAAAAAGAATATTAATAAAATATAATCAAATAAATAATAAAATTAAATTTACTACAATCAAAAAAATTTCATCTTGTCATGAAAGCTGCAGTGTATCATCGTGTTTCACACTGTATACCCTTTTGCCCAAACAACTTCACTTGAAAATGATCGTTGCAATGAGTCTCTCCTGACTTCTGCTACACTGTTAACACTGAATCCTCACCAGGTAAGTCCTCATGGCCCCACATGGGAAACAGGGCCAGAAACGCCAAGCAACTTGCTTGTGGGGCCAGAGCAGGTTTGGGCAAACAGGTGACTACTAGATCAGTTCTTTGGTTTGTAGGGAGTCTATAGGGAGAAGCCAAGCAAATCGGTGGACCTAGCTGGGGGTAGCTGTCAGAGAGACGTTGAGTCTTTGGGATGCACAGAGGTGCTAACCAAGAGCCTGGCTTTCCTGTGGAGACCCACATCTGTGTTACTCAGGGGAGAGTGCCAGATCCTCTGGACTCTTACCCAAGAGGAGTGAGTGGCAAGATAATGAAGCCAGCCTGCTCACCCACTGTCTGCCTAAACCATTCCTCAGATTTTCAGAGGGGAGAGGATTCAATCACTAAGACGATACTATGTGCCAGGCTCTCGACAGATCCTCAAGCAGCTGGCAGACATGGACCTGACAGAGGACACAGCTGTGGACTAAGAGATACTAAGTGGTTGTTCTTGGGAATCTTGTAACTTTGTAGCCAGTTTCCAGTTCCAGCCATAATGCCCTTTGTGACCAGGGGCTGGGACCATAGAGTTCTGGGGTCAAGTCCACAACCCTCAAGAGCCATCTTTCCTTGTATGCTGGCTAGTATTGTGTCAGCTTGGCACACCAACTAGAGTTATCTGAGGGAAACCTAATTGAGACAATGGCTCCATTAGATGCAGTTGTAAGGCATTTTCTTAATTAGTGATTGATGGGGAGGGTCCAGCCCATTGCTGGTGGTGCTATCCCTGGGCTGGTGATCCTGGGTTCCATAAGAAAGCAGGTTGAATAAGCCAGTAAGCAACACCCTTCTCCATGGCCTCTTCTGCGTCAGCTCCTGCCTCCAGATCCTGCCCTTGTTTGAGTTTCTGTCCCGACTTCCTTTGGTGAAGAACAGCAGTGTGGACATGTGAGCTGAATAGATCCTTTCTTCCCCAGCTTGCTTTTGGGCATGGCGTCTCATCACTGCAATAGAAACCCTAACGACTTGATACTGGAATCATGTTGTCTTTGTGGAGGTTACACCTGGTAAGGGTGAGAGAGGCAGGGTGGTGGAGGGCAGAGTACCCAAGACCGGGCATGTTGGTGAGGAGCTGTTTTAGGCTATGTATTTCCAGAGCAGCAGAGCAGCTAGGCCCAACTCATTCCTGCAAACAAGGTCTGCTGTGCAGCCCCCGCTGCCCCCTACCTGGGCATGTCAGGAGAAAAAGAGCCCCGCATTGTGTACCGCCTCATTAGCCCCAGAACGGAGGCGGTAGGCCTTGGACACAGGGAATAGGAAACGTTGTATCTGGTTGTTTATTCATCTAGATCTCTCTTCCTCTTCCTCAGCCAAGTTGATGGCCTCTCCTTCATTCAGCCTGAAGGGCTTTTTCTGCATGGAAGGAGTCATAGCCAGGTTAGGTCCTCCATCTGAAACTAGTTCCTGATAATCAGAATAGCGTTGTTCGTGCCTGCTGTGTTTAGAAGACACTGGAGGCAAACATCAAGGGTTTGTCATGTTGGAGAGTACAAAGCCCAAATAAGCATAGATGAGACAGTGGAGAATGTGTAAGCCTTGCAGCAGGTTTACAGAGCAACACCGTCTTCCTTCTGTGTTGCAACATTTCCTTGAATACAGAAAGCATGGGGGGTTATTCAAGGTGCTTCCACATATTTACACATGGGGAGGTCCATTCTTGAGCATGCTCAGTGAACAGATATGCTACATTCCTGAGCATGCTCAGTGGAGGAGGCCATTCATTCCTGAACATGCTCAGTTGAAGGTCATGGAGCTCATGCTTAAAAGATTAGAATGGTAGACTGTGTTTGAGCTGCACACAGAGGAAGGGGCACTTTGAAGATGCATTGACGCAGGGATGTGTCCACAGAGGTGCCTGCTTAGGTTGATGCCTGACACACCATCATGAACACGGGGTCTCATTTTACCCCTGGGGAGCTGTTTGAAGCTGGGCAGCCACTTCCTCTAGACTTTACATTCAGAAACAGCTAGTGAACTATGGCTGTATCAGCCCCTGCAGTTATGGAATGCAGTTATGACAGGTCAGGAAGCACTGGATGAAAAGGAATGTAGCATCAGCCTGTGTTCCATCTGGCCTTTGTGCCTGGTCTCTTTATCCTCTGCAGGTCTTTCAGGGATGTTGATGTAGCCCTTTTGTGGTGACGTCTATTTGTCAACCCTGTTTGAGGGAAGTTTGCTTCTCTTCTTGCTTGTTCATGGCCTTGCCCCAGTTCAATCCACAGACATAAGCCGTCATTCTCTGTGATGGACCAAAGGTAGATTACAGGGTGATGGTGTGTGCCTATTAATAACCATGCATGGCTTATTTCTATTCATGGACCTTCATGCTTTCAGAGCACAGATGGTGTCTAGGTGGCCCTAACCAGGCAGTAGATGCTCAGGGCTCCTTCTGCTGCTCGTGTAAAACATTGTACTTGTAATACCAGGCAGGAGGATAGCTCCTGGAGGAGTTAACAAATACACCTTTCAATGTAGAACATAAGGAATCTGGGCCTGCTCAGGGCCTGACACAGAATGGAAGGATGATGGTGGTCGCCTGACTGATGCTCAATGCGACAGTGTTCACTTCACCTCAAGCAAGATGCAAAGATGGAGGTGGTCCATAAAACAGGCCTAAAGCTGAGCAGGCAGTGTTGTTGTAAATAAAAAATAATGAGTGCTGGGCTATATATTATTTATTATTAGCCCTAAGACTATCACAGAAGTATTATTTAACCGGCTATGACAAATGATAAGACACAAACACCTGTTAGATTTATAATTGCCTTATTTTCTTGGGCTGGGCAGATATTTTACTTACGCTGTTTCAATAACCTCACTATCCATCTCCCAGCCCCCATCCAATGCCATCTGCCTTGATCATCCTCATCTGGTCTACCTTCCATCTATCATCCCAAGATACTTGCTTCATCTAGGCCTTTCCATGCCAAATTATTGGAGTCCTTCCTCCTTTTCCACATGGTTCCTTCTCCATGCTAATCATCATG